TGGCCCTTAATGAGACCAGTCGGCCCTCAATGAAACAAGTTGGCTTTCGACGAGATCAGTTGCCACTCATATGGACCATATGGCACTCATTGAGATCAGTTGGCCCTTAATGTGGCCAGTTGGCACTCAGTGAGATCAGTTGGCCATTAATAAGTCTAGTTGGCAACTCAATGAGACCAGTTGACACTAAATGATATCATTTGGCACTCAATGAGACCAGTTGGCCCTCAATGAGAGCAGTTGGCACTCAATGAGACCAATTGGCACTAACCGGTTGCCGACCACTGGTTTGAAGCAGGTTGTCGACCACTGGGTTGAAGCAGGTTGTCGACCACTAAGTTGGAGCAGGTTGCCGACCACTGGGTTGGCGCGGACTGCTGACCACTAGGTTGCAGCAGGTTGTCTACCACTGGGTTACAGCAGCTTGTCGCCCACTGGGTTAGCGTGCTATCTATTGCAGTTGATCTACAAAGGGAAATAGCCCGGTATTAGCATTGTTTCCCCAGTGTTACTAGAGTGGCATTTCTTGATAGTTGTAAGTCTAGTGTGGCATAGACAGAAGAGGAATAGATATTAAAGAAATTATCGGATGGCTCTTGTAAATTTGAATAATCATTGTTTAAACAAGTCTTGTCGTTAGCGTAATGGTTGGAGTCAGGGTTAGGGGTTAAAGTTATAGTTGAGTTAGGGTTAGACTTAGGGTTAAGATTAGAGTTATAGTTAAGGTGAGAGTTAGGGTTAGATTTAGGGTTAGAGTTAAGGTTAGGCTTAATATACCGTTAACGGTTAAGGTTAGAGATAAAGTTAGGCTTTAGAGTTAGGTTCAGGATTAGAGTTTATGCGATGTTCGTTCTGCATTGCAAATTATTTTTTAAGCCCAATCGGTATCTATTAGATGTTGTGATTGGTGAAGTTTCCAACAATCGTTGTAAACACTCATGGCTTAACTAAAGCAAAGGACTTTGTAAACACTCATGGCTTAACTAAAGCAAAGGACTTTGTAAACACTCATGGCTTAACTAAAGCAAAGGACTTTGTAAACACTCATGGCTTAACTATAGCAAAGGACTTTGTAAACACTCATGGCTTAACTAAAGCAAAGGACTTTGTAAACACTCATGGCTTAACTAAAGCAAAGGACTTTGTAAACACTCATGGCTTAACTATAGCAAAGGACTTTGTAAACACTCATGGCTTAACTAAAGCAAAGGACTTTGTAAACACTCATGGCTTAACTAAAGCAAAGGACTTTGTAAACACTCATGGCTTAACTATAGCAAAGGACTTTGTAAACACTCATGGCTTAACTAAAGCAAAGGACTTTGTAAACACTCATGGCTTAACTAAAGCAAAGGACTTTGTAAACACTCATGGCTTAACTATAGCAAAGGACTTTGTAAACACTCATGGCTTAACTAAAGCAAAGGACTTTGTAAACACTCATGGCTTAACTAAAGCAAAGGACTTTGTAAACACTCATGGCTTAACTATAGCAAAGGACTTTGTAAACACTCATGGCTTAACTAAAGCAAAGGACTTTGTAAACACTCATGGCTTAACTAAAGCAAAGGACTTTGTAAACACTCATGGCTTAACTATAGCAAAGGACTTTGTAAACACTCATGGCTTAACTAAAGCAAAGGACTTTGTAAACACTCATGGCTTAACTAAAGCAAAGGACTTTGTAAACACTCATGGCTTAACTATAGCAAAGGACTTTGTAAACACTCATGGCTTAACTAAAGCAAAGGACTTTGTAAACACTCATGGCTTAACTATAGCAAAGGACTTTGTAAACACTCATGGCTTAACTAAAGCAAAGGACTTTGTAAACACTCATGGCTTAACTATAGCAAAGGACTTTGTAAACACTCATGGCTTAACTAAAGCAAAGGACTTTGTAAACAATCATGGCTTAACTATAGCAAAGGACTTTGTAAACAATCATGGCTTAACTATAGCAAAGGACTTTGTAAACACTCATGGCTTAACTAAAGCAAAGGACTTTGTAAACAATCATGGCTTAACTATAGCAAAGGACTTTGTAAACAATCATGGCTTAACTAAAGCAAAGGACTTTGTAAACACTCATGGCTTAACTAAAGCAAAGGACTTTGTAAACAATCATGGCTTAACTATAGCAAAGGACTTTGTAAACAATCATGGCTTAACTAAAGCAAAGGACTTTGTAAACACTCATGGCTTAACTATAGCAAAGGACTTTGTAAACACTCATGGCTTAACTATAGCAAAGGACTTTGTAAACACTCATGGCTTAACTATAGCAAAGGACTTTGTAAACACTCATGGCTTAACTATAGCAAAGGACTTTGTAAACACTCATGGCTTAACTATAGCAAAGGACTTTGTAAACACTCATGGCTTAACTATAGCAAAGGACTTTGTAAACACTCATGGCTTAACTATAGCAAAGGACTTTGTAAACACTCATGGCTTAACTATAGCAAAGGACTTTGTAAACACTCATGGCTTAACTATAGCAAAGGACTTTGTAAACACTCATGGCTTAACTATAGCAAAGGACTTTGTAAACACTCATGGCTTAACTAAAGCAAAGGACTTTGTAAACACTCATGGCTTAACTAAAGCAAAGGACTTTGTAAACACTCATGGCTTAACTATAGCAAAGGACTTTGTAAACACTCATGGCTTAACTAAAGCAAAGGACTTTGTAAACACTCATGGCTTAACTAAAGCAAAGGACTTTGTAAACACTCATGGCTTAACTATAGCAAAGGACTTTGTAAACAATCATGGCTTAACTATAGCAAAGGACTTTGTAAACACTCATGGCTTAACTAAAGCAAAGGACTTTGTAAACACTCATGGCTTAACTAAAGCAAAGGACTTTGTAAACACTCATGGCTTAACTGTCCTGTAAAGATTGAAACGACACAATGCCAGAAATTATTAAAGTTAGATTATTACTGTACCCACAGGCGGACGCGCGCGTGTGTGTGTGGATGTGTGTGTGTGTGTGGATGTGTGTGTGTGGATATGTGTGTGGTTCCAAAATCGGCACAACATCTAACATGGTAGGAAACGGTAGACAATGGTAGGCAATGGTAGACACTGATAGACAATGATAGTCGTGTCAATAAAATAACATTGATGTCCAACAGCCTCATGATATGTTTTCAGTTACAACAGTTGACAATTTTCCCCACTGTCTAAGCTGTCTGTAACACAAGTGGCTATTCTCCCCATTTTCTAAACTACTTGTCACACAAATGAACACTCTCCCCATTTTCTAAACTACTTGTCACACAAATGAACGCTCTCCCCATTTTCTAAACTATTTGTCACACAAATGAACACTCTCCCCATTTTCTAAACTACTTGTCGCACAAATGAACTCTCTCCCCATTTTCTAAACTAATTGTCACACAAATGAACACTCTCCCCATTTTCTAAACTACTTGTCACACAAATGAACACTCTCCCCATTTTCTAAACTACTTGTCACACAAATGAACACTCTCCCCACTGTAACAAAAATTTTGCTTATTTAATTTGGGTCGACTTTATTGTCTCATGATTTATCAGTCGCATAAAAGATCATCCGTCGTTAGTTGCGACACAGTTGTAGCTCGACTTTACACTGTTATTAAAATCAAGAAATGATTTTGTGCCTTAACATCCCAATGCCTGGTGTTGCATAATTGAAATTTAAAGTGCGAAAAAAACGGTAAAAAAAATAATATTAAAAAGGTAATGTAAGATTAATGTAAAGGGAATATTTCTATATTTACTAAATATTTTAATGTTCGTTATTTTTAATAGAAATGAAAGTCACAAATCTCCTATTATTGTGGTAAACATAAGGTCTCATTGTCCTTCAAAGCTCCCATTCTTGGAGTAAACAAAAATCAAAAAGACCCTAGCTGTTGACGCCATCTTGTATTCAACCTTTCAAGTATTGTTTTATCTCTGGGTTGTGTTATCTTTGTGTCGAATGTTTTTAATGGTCAACCTTTTAATGGAAACACAATATTCAGTTAAAGAATATATATCCGCCAATGACGCAACAATCCTGTTCCTAAGAAGCTCAATTGTTTTTTTTTAAAATATAATTTCTCCTAAATAAAAGGAAAGACCAAAAAAACGACCTTGAGTGTAGTGATAACAAAAGACAACCATTGATGCATTGACCACAAATGACAGATGTAAGACAACCATTGATGCATTGACCACAAATGACAGATGTAAGACAACCATTGATGCATTAACCACAAATGACAGATGTAAGACAACCATTGATGCATTGACCACAAATGACAGATGTAAGACAACCATTGATGCATTGACCACAAATGACAGATGTAAGACAACCATTGATGCATTGACCACAAATGACAGATGTAAGACAACCATTGATGCATTGACCACAAATGACAGATGTAAGACAACCATTGATGCATTGACCACAAATGACAGATGTAAGACAACCATTGATGCATTAACCACAAATGACAGATGTAAGACAACCATTGATGCATTGACCACAAATGACAGATGTAAGACAACCATTGATGCATTGACCACAAATGACAGATGTTTGGAGTCTCAAATAAAAATAACAACTATTTAAAAGGAAGATGAACATATTCCTTTAGTTTTAAGATTTCACAAATTTTGTAGCTGTTAGTATTCTTTCAGACAACTGGGCCAGGACCTATGCACCCGTTGACTTGCCAAATTGTGGATTTTATGATTTGTTATTCTAAAATAAGGAGGTTTAATATGTGCAAATGTCTGGTATATTCACTGAATGGTATTAAAAATAGCGCAATTCATGGATGTAATAAATATTAATACATGTCTTGTATACAATAGATTACAAATACTCTAACTTAAAGGATTATAATGTTTTGAAATAATTTTTAAATGCATCATCTGTTTTAATTCTTTTTAATAAAAACTACCAATATGACATTTTAAAACATTTACTAAACTATTATTTTCAAAATATTGACATTATCCGTCCTTGTCATAAAGTGATACCACCCAAGCCATCGACTCCTTCCATCCTCTACCATGTGGGCCATTCCTATCAAGTGACGTGCTTTTCAAAATGGCTGACTGACCTAATTAAATCAAAAACATTACCATATTTCAATTTTGTCAACTTTCAAATCTGAAATTGTGTAACAAAGATTTACAAAATTATATATATAGATTTTTTTTTTTACCAGTGGCTTTGAAAAAACAAACAAATGTGGATGTCTTCATCTGATTGATGTGCCTGTGATTTCTGTTTGAAATATCTTTGACTTGTGTGGCGTGGATAATTCTTTGTATGATTAAATCTTGTCGTAATGGCGAACACATTTCTCATCTTTCTCAGTGTTTCTTCGATTGCATTTCTTTCTTTTGGTGAGTCTAAATGGCGTCATATAAATATTACTGATTTTAACAGAAAATAAGACAAGAGTCTGTTTAATGATCTCACAGTTCTTTTAAAATGAAGCAAGATTTCAATTTGAAATGTTTCAATCAGGGCACGGCACTACTACAAGAACAAGAACAAATATATCCGATTAACAAACGAATAAATTAAAATATATTCTTGGTATGTTTACAATGTTAAATGAAATAAACCGTTTAACACAACTATATTTTATACCTTACTTAAACACATTTATTTGTATCTTAAACACATATATTTGTATCTTAAACACATTTATTTGTATTACTTAAACACATTGACATGTATCTTAAACACATTAACTTGTAACTTAAACACATTTGCGATTACTAACCTTTGGTTGACCCTTTCATGCCCCCCCCCTTTTCTCTTTTGTGACAGTCTCCTGTCAAGACCCCGAGATTGTCAATGACATTCTGCCTGAGATCAAGCGGGTTGGGATGACAGCTATGTTGAACTGTACGGTGGCAAGGCTTGGTGGCAACTCTGTGAGTGGTGGCAGCCAATGACAAATAACGATGGCATCTAGTGATATCAAGTCAATGACAAATTAAGATGACATCTAATGACATAAAATAGTAATTAATGTTACTCTAATCTTGTTCATAGCTTATTGTAGATATATTTCAAAAACTAGGCAAAATGCATTTTCCACCCTGACTTCTCATGTTGAAAATAGGTCTAAAGGTTACATGAAAGTAGGTCTCAATTTCACATAAAAGTAGGTCTCAATGCTAGATGAAAATAGATGTCAATAACACATGAAAATAGGTCTCAATGCTAGATAATAGTATATCTTATTGTCAAATGAAAGTATTTCTCCATGCTACATGAAATTAGGTCTCCATGCCACCTGAAAGGAGGTAACATGACACAACGAATTAGCTTACAATATGAAGAACTAGATGTATCACGCGAAACATTTGCGATAGCAATGTGTGAACTTCCCATCTCGTAAAGTTACTTGACAAAACATGAACTCAAGTAACGCACATTTAAAAGAATCCCAATATTTGCTACACCCATTCCCCCATGATACGTCACTGCACAATTTTTTTTCCACGCCCATGAACTATATTAAATATTCTGATGTCCCCACCACTTTTAAACCGAATATTTTTTACACAATACTTAAATTGAGACGATTTCATTTACGAAAAGAAAATATTACGCACCAAACGTAATTTCGTTAATATATATATATATATATATATATATCATTTAGCGTAGTTATCGGGAATTATATTTTGCGCGCTAGGGAACTCATGATTGAACCACACTCTGGTGTATCTATAAATAGCCTGCGTCTTGTTTGACCCATCTTGTTTGACCTTTGCTTGCGAATTATATATATAGATATGTAGTATATCAAATTTAAAAAAAATATTGCTATATTTTGAATGTATTTGATTATTTAAGTTTCAAGGATGATTGCTTTGGTATTTGTAAAACAAGTTTCTGTATCTGAAATGTTACATATGTCAACATACCCCAATATATCTAGCATTAAAAGTATGTCCATTAATTTATCTCACACTAACAATTAATAAGTTAATGTATCTGCCACTGCCAATAATTATATTTATTGCTCTCACCTTGCCAACACTCACAGGTGCAATGGGCATTCAATGGCTCAGGTGTTGAACAGGTATTGAGTAAAAATGAAGATATCTTAGTCCAGAACCCAAGGAAGGGAGGAGTCGCAGCTTATAAAGTACTCCGTCTGAAACAAGCAGGGGACAGAACTACGTTTGTCTTGGTCATCAGCCGGCTGAGACCAGAACATTCCGGAGTCTACCAGTGTACGATTGCCATCACTAACAAGGGGTACGAACATTGGACCAAGAAGAATGGCTACCTGACAGTACTACGTGAGTCTATCATTGAACACTGGCTATCTGACTGTACTACTTGAGTCTTTCATTGAATCCTGGCTATCTGGCTGTACTAAGTCAGTCTATCATTGAACACTGGCTATCTGGCTGTACTATGTCAGTCTATCATTGAATACTGCCTATCTGGCTGTACTAAGTCACTGTCCATGAATTCAAGTTTAGCAGACCCTGTTCTTAGCTTTCATTGAATACTGGCGGTTTGGGGATTGTGTGACTTGGTGTGGGAGTACGTGTGTATGTTTGTGTGTGTGGAGGTGTAATGAGTGTATGTGTAGAGGTGTAAGAAGTGTATGTGTAGAGGTGTAATGAGTGTGTGTGTGGAGGTGTAATGAGTTGTTTGTGGAGGTGTAATGAGTGTGTATGTGTAGAGGTGTAATGAATGTGTGTATGTGGAGGTGTAATGAGTGTGTTTAGAGGTGTAATGAGTTTGTGTGTAGAGGTATAATGAGTTTGTGTGTGGAGGTGTAATGAGTGTGTGTGTAGAGGTGTAATGAGTGTGTGTGTAGAGGTGTAATGAGTGTGTGTGTGGAGGTGTAATGAGTGTGTGTGTAGAGGTGTAATGAGTGTGTGTGTAGAGGTGTAATGAGTGTGGGTGTGGAGGTGTAATGAGTGTGTGTGTAGAGGTATAATGAGTTTGTGTGTGGAGGTGTAATGAGTGTGTGTGTAGAGGTGTAATGAGTGTGTGTGTGGAGGTGTAAGGTGTGTGTGTGTGTGTCGAGGGGTAGTGAGTGTATGTGTAGAGGTGTAATGAGTGTGTGTGTGGGGGTGTAAGGTGTGTGTGTGTAGTGTGTGTGGGGAGGTGTAATGAGTGTGTGTGTAGAGGTGTAATGAGTGTGTGTGTAGAGGTGTAATGAGTGTGTGTGTGGAGGTGTAATGAGTGTGTGTGTAGAGGTATAATGAGTTTGTGTGTGGAGGTGTAATGAGTGTGTGTGTAGAGGTGTAATGAGTGTGTGTGTGGAGGTGTAATGTGTGTGTGTGTGTGTAGAGGTGTAATGAGTGTGTGTGTAGAGGTGTAATGAGTGTGTGTGTGGAGGTGTAATGAGTGTGTGTGTGTGTAGAGGTGTAATGAGTGTGTGTGTAGAGGTGTAATGAGTGTGGATGTGGAGGTGTAATGAGTGTGTGTGTAGAGGTGTAATGAGTGTGTGTGTGGAGGTGTAATGAGTGTGTATGTAGAGGTGTAATGAGTGTGTGTGTGGAGGTGTGTAGTAGAAAATGGCCGTGGTTGACGTTCATTGCAGGATTGCATCACTTGTGGTAAGGTGTGCTTGTGTTTTGTTTTCAATATATGTTTTCAGTTGTATTTGTAGGATATGTTTTTATTTTTTTGGAGGATATAGTTGTTGATTCGTTAGGATAATATGTTTGTAGCTTTGTTTGTTTCGGTCACTTCCCTCTTTCTACCCTCTCGGATCTTACATTTCAGCTGTGTTATTTTTAAAATTTAATTATGTTTTTACTGTTGTTTGCTGATGAAGGCTTTTTGCCGACACGTACTTTTTTTGTTTGTTTGGTTTTCTTTGCATAGTTTTTTGCATAGTTTTTTCCCCGATTTTCACATACTTTCTTTCATTCACTTCTTTGTTTGTAAAACATGTTTGTAGTTAAGTTTGTAGAGTTGTATGATGTCAGGAAAGACTCGAACTGTGTTTAAAAGTTACGTTTTAAATTAGGATGCACATTCCTAGCGTTATTTAAATATTTTATTGTGAAGTAACAAACAGTAGAGGTTGATTATAGTGTGACACTGGCGTAATTTCTTAAGAAACAGTAGAGTGCATTACAGTGTGACACTGGCGTAAGGTCTTTTTTTAAATGGAAATCTTTGCGTGAACTGAAGCTGATTTTCTGGTGATTCCGTAAAGTAATAATTGATGCAAAGACAAAAGTTTGTATTGTCCATTTTGCGGTTGGAAGTATCATTCCTGGTTGTTCAGGGAACAGCAAGAAGCAAGGTGCAGAAAAATCTGATTTTTATTTCTTTGACTGACAATAACCTCTTGTTTCTGTTTGACTTGACAGAGCCACCCATCATATGACATGGCTCCACATAACCTCTTGTTTCTGTTTGACTTGACAGAGCCACCCATCATATGACATGGCTCCACATAACCTCTTGTTTCTGTTTGACTTGACAGAGCCACCCATCATATGACATGGCTCCACATAACCTCTTGTTTCTGTTTGACTTGACAGAGCCACCCATCATATGACATGGCTCCACATAACCTCTTGTTTCTGTTTGACTTGACAGAGCCACCCATCATATGACATGGCTCCACATAACCTCTTGTTTCTGTTTGACTTGACAGAGCCACCCATCATATGACATGGCTCCACATAACCTCTTGTTTCTGTTTGACTTGACAGAGCCACCCATCATATGACATGGCTCCACATAACCTCTTGTTTCTGTTTGACTTGACAGAGCCACCCATCATATGACATGGCTCCACATAACCTCTTGTTTCTGTTTGACTTGACAGAGCCACCCATCATATGACATGGCTCCACATAACCTCTTGTTTCTGTTTGACTTGACAGAGCCACCCATCATATGACATGGCTCCACATAACCTCTTGTTTCTGTTTGACTTGACAGAGCCACCCATCATATGACATGGCTCCACATAACCTCTTGTTTCTGTTTGACTTGACAGAGCCACCCATCATATGACATGGCTCCACATAACCTCTTGTTTCTGTTTGACTTGACAGAGCCACCCATCATATGGCATGGCTCCACATAACCTCTTGTTTCTGTTTGACTTGACAGAGCCACCCATCATATGGCATGGCTCCACATAACCTCTTGTTTCTGTTTGACTTGACAGAGCCACCCATCATAAGACCGGGCTCAACAGACTCGGTCAAGATGATTGAGAAGGGAGGCAATACCAGCATCACGTGTGACGCCTTTGGGGTGCCTTTCCCTAACATCACCTGGGTTCGATCGGACGGGAAGCTCTTGCCTAACGGGAAGGCCATGTTCAGAGTGAGTTGTCGGACTTCTTTCTTTCGTTCCTTAAGTTCTTACGATGCACTTTCAAGGGGCATAAGCAAGCTATTGTTACTCAAAACATTGATCTCATTCGAAAGAATGAACAACAACAATAAAAACAACAATAACATAGTCATACCAGGTCTTGTGGATGTTATTTATATGAATAGTCAACCTAGATTTCTCCAGCTGTTATTTTAAACACCCATGTACAGCAATGAGTTGTCTCTCCATGACAGGGCAGGACGCTGGCCATAATGTCGGCTGACGTCAAGTTTGCAGGTGTGTACAGGTGTGTGGCTGACAACAACGTCAAACCACCTGCAGAATCCCTGACGCAGGTAGGAGACGCCCCTTGGATTGGGGGATTTATCATTTGATCTTTAATTCGGGGCAGGTGCGAAATATGAAATTACATGACAAAATTAAGATTTACAATTTCATTACGTCACGAACTTTGGATTCAAACTATATTTAACAATCCCGGCCCATAGAGAATAATATTTGTTGAAAAAAAAATTAATATTATGTTTTATATGACGTCATAGGTTTATGTGTTCCAAGAACCAACAGTCCGAGTCCTGCAGAATTCTGTTGGTCAGTTCGCCAATGGCCGCCTGGATGCCAAGTTGGACTGCATTGTTCAAGGTGGGTCGTCTCAATGAACATTGTTCTAGCTGGGTTGCATTAGGACTTAGAACACACGATGGGACATGTTTTATACATATATGGAACGTCTTACAGTAAATTGTTTAAAATTAGTGATCTTAGAATACATTGTTCAAGGTGGGTTGTCTCAAAGAACATTGTTCAAGTTGGGTTGTCTCAAAGAACATTGTTCAAGGTGGGTTGTCTCAAAGAACATTGTTCAAGTTGGGTTGTCTCAAAGAACATTGTTCAAGTTGGGGTGTCTCAAAGAACATTGTTCAAGTTGGCTTGTCTCAAAGAACATTGTTAAAGGTGGGTTGTCTCAAAGAACATTGTTCAAGGTGGGTTGTCTCAAAGAACATTGTTCAAGGTGGGTTGTCTCAAAGAACATTGTTCAAGGTGGGTTGTCTCAAAGAACATTGTTCAAGGTGGGTTGTCTCAAAGAACATTGTTCAAGGTGGGTTGTCTCAAAGAACATTGTTCAAGGTGGGTTGTCTCAAAGAACATTGTTTAAGGTGGGTTGTCTCAAAAAACATTGTTCAAGGTGGGAAGTCTCAAAAAACATTGTTCAACGTGGGTTGTATAAATTGATGTATGAATTGATCTATAAATTGATGTTTAAAATGATGATTGAATTGATGCATGAAGTGATGCATGAAGTGGTGCATGAAGTGGTGCATGAAGTGGTGCATGAAGTGATGCATGAAGTGATGCATGAAGTGATGCATGAAGTGATGCATGAAGTGATGCATGAAGTGGTGCATGAAGTGATGCATGAAGTGGTGCATGAAGTGGTGCATGAAGTGGTGCATGAAGTGATGCATGAAGTGGTGCATGAAGTGATGCATGAAGTGATGCATGAAGTGGTGCATGAAGTGATGCATGATGCATGAAGTGATGCATGAAGTGGTGCATGAAGTGGTGCATGAAGTGGTGCATGAAGTGATGCATGAAGTGGTGCATGAAGTGATGCATGAAGTGATGCATGAAGTGGTGCATGAAGTGATGCATGAAGTGATGCATGAAGTGATGCATGAAGTGGTGCATGAAGTGGTGCATGAAGTGGTGCATGAAGTGATGCATGAAGTGGTGCATGAAGTGATGCATGAAGTGATGCATGAAGTGGTGCATGAAGTGATGCATGAAGTGATGCATGAAGTGGTGCATGAAGTGGTGCATGAAGTGGTGCATGAAGTGATGCATGAAGTGATGCATGAAGTGATGCATGAAGTGATGCATGAAGTGATGCATGAAGTGATGCATGAAGTGATGCATGAAGTGGTGTATGAAGTGGTGCATGAAGTGGTGCATGAAGTGATGCATGAAGTGATGCATGAAGTGATGCATGAAGTGATGCATGAAGTGATGCATGAAGTGGTGCATGAAGTGATGCATGAAGTGATGCATGAAGTGGTGCATGAAGTGGTGCATGAAGTGGTGCATGAAGTGGTGCATGAAGTGATGATTGTTTCTTCTTAGAAGCTCCGGCATTAAATGCTACTGCCTGGTGCATGTTTTTGGTTGACTTTCTATTTTCATGAGGAATGATTTGGTTTGATCTGTTGACAATGGTCAATGGTTCTCATTTTGTACTCTATTTTTTAAACAAATCAACCCATGACCCCGATAGGTTACCCCACCCCCATGGTATACTGGATGATCAAAAACAGGGAGGAGCGGACAGTCCTGACTGACAGCGACAAGTACGAGACAACCAAACAGGTTTGTTGCATTATTCAAATAATCTTATTTTTACAACTGTTTTATTCGACCATGAAAGTATAAGATACATTTGACTTATTGTCTAAGCATATGATACATTTGATTTCTTGTCTAACTGTATGATACATTTGACTTATTGTCTAAGCATATGATACATTTGACTTCTTGTCTAATCGTGTCAGTGATGTTACATGAGGAAATGATTTTGTTACTCCAAACAAATATAATGTGTTTACTCATTGCTTTCTGTGACTTAAACCTGTGTTCAGGCGACAGATACCCAAAACCTACTGAACGGTGAGCAGTGGTACACACTCAAAATTCGTTACGTCCAAGCCTTGGACTACAGAGACTATTACTGTGTCGGAATCAATAGTAAGGGAGAGGGAAACGCCACTGTCAATCTGTTCTGTAAGCAAATCTCATTGATATCCTCCATTAAATTCATACATAACATAACTTTTTAAAACATAAGTTTTAGTTCATTAGATAATTTTAAAAAACATTGCATCACCAGTTTGAGGACCTCACAGCTGAATGACATAGCCATATTCATCCTTTCATTATTACAGCCACCTGGGACTGCCAAGGGCCGCTATGCTACTCTCTTGATCCCAGCGGACGCGGCGGTGCAGATATTTCGAGGTTACCTCCCCTTATCACCTGGCTGCTAGTCCTGCACTCGGTTGTCCCCAATCTGTTGTATTAGTTGCCATGACTACACCGTGTAAGAGATCCCTCTATATCAACACTTCACTATGTATATACAAACGTCATATCACTACACATTATAACTCTGAGCATGTGTATTTAATTTCACTTCGTATGCACTTTTCATATCAATAATTAAATCATGTACACAATTGTTACATCAATAATTAAATCATGTAGACAATTTTTATATCAATTAAATCATGTACACAATTGTTATATCAATAATTTAATCACGTACACTATTTTTCTGTATAAAGTTGACTTAACAGGCAAACAGAGTTGACTCTATTCCTCAGTTCAATTCGTGCAACCTAATATTGTAAACCATCTGTCACATATCACGTGATGGCAAATGACGTTTTTGTAGATAATTTAAACGTCATTTTTTTACGTGGCCCACTTACTGCTTCTCTTTTGTATTTTGACGTCTTAATAATATGGTCATTAGTGTCATAGAATCTGTCGAAATGTCATTAGTGTAATAGAATATGTCAAATTGTCATTAGTGTCATAAAATCTATCAAATTGTCATTAGTGTCATCGACACTGTCAGAGTGTCATGTCTATGTCAATGTTTATTCTGATATGGTTTCAAGTGAACGAGAACACAATGATTTTTTATTTACTTTATTTTTAAACTAAATCCGGCAGCATGGGCGTCGGCAGTAGGGGTCAAGGTTAATAACATCCCCCCCCCCCCCCACACCCCACCCCCAAATCCCATGAGAACATTCCTGCGGGCGATTTTTTTAATTTTTCAAATTAATTATCATGTATTTTAACATTATATTTTATCCATGTTTTGTATCTCTGTATTTGTATTCATGTATTGCATCCATTTTTAGTATATATGTATTTCATCTGTGTAAGGTATCTATTTATTGTATCCATACATTGTATTTATGTATTGTAACAAGGTGTTTTATACACGTATGTGTGTATGTTATTTATGTATTGTATGCATGTGTTGTATCCATGTATTGTATCCATGTATTTGTATTTTAGTATTATTTCCAAAACCAAAGATCTATGCATGTGAATTCAATTTTCATGTTATCTGAATATACTAGCAGATAGCACCCGATGTTACCAGGATTAAAATGTAAGACATATTGCGTACCCTCTAAATATCTGTCTTTGACCCATGTAACTTGCGCGGGTTATGGTGTATTGTATCCTCAAAAATATGACGACAATTTTCTAAGCCATTGAAATGTCGATTTAGGAACTAGTCAATTCAGATTTTCTATTTTCTTAAGAAGTTTCTTTGACTAGATGTTTTCGTTTCTAACATCAATGGACGTTTTAAAAAAAAAATGTACACCTGCTCTATTTAGCGCTACCAACCCTTTTACACGCCTGAAATTTTTTTTAAAAAATCTAAAAATACAATTTTGAATATCTGTAACATTAAAAGTACATTGATGGACTGGTACCGTCATTAAACATTTACCAACTCTTTTTCATCGCTCCTGATCTCTATTGTCGGAAAATTGTAAACATACAATCATTCTATCCACAGAAAATATCTTAACCAATGTTCTAGTCTGTAACAGCCATGTTTTGTTTTCAAAGAAATCTAATCATTAATCACATAATGCTTCACCTTCACTTTTTCATGAAATTCATTTTGCGCTAAGTGAAGAAATAAAAATATTCTTATTTTCTCAGAAATTGTCACCCGTCGTTGTTCACTCCCCTGAACCGTATTTCTGGAAATGACAAAAAGATATCCTCGCACCCAAACGTTTGCTTGTCCAATGGGAACATCTCGATGGCATTCAATTTAAAGATAATCATATCCATTATCCCACCCCAACCCAACCCATTTAAAAAAAAAAACTCCAACTTCTTTCAGATTTACCGTGTGAGTAGACACTTCTGTTAATGTGCCCACAATGTGTCAACGCCACTGAACTACATTGTGTCAACGCCACTGAACCACAATGTGTCGACGCCACTGAACTACATTGTGTCAACGCCACTGAACTACATTGTGTCGACGCCACTGAACCCACAATGTGTCAACGCCACCGAACTACATTGTGTCGACGCCACTGAACCCACAATGTGTCGACGCCACTGAACTACATTGTGTCGACGCCTCTGTGCCCAAAATGTGTCAAAGCCATTAACCTACATTTTCCGTAATTGGCATAACACCACAGATTTATTGTAAAAGAAAATCTAAAACTTCTTTTTTTCCACGACAATAACAGCATCAGATTGAAAGATAGAGTTATCCACTTACAAATGTGTCTTCCTATCTCCATGGAGTGTGTTTTCTGAAGAAAGCGGAAATACATGATTTCATTACTGTGACAACTGTCTATAAACCAATTTCCAGTAGGTAACACATTTTGGGGTTTGACATATTGCTATAGTTATAAACTACACCCCCCCTTACTGTGACCTATCTTGTGCTGCCAGGGAGAAAGTACAAAAATGAAAGCCCCCCCCCCCCCTCCTTTTAAAACCAATTTCCAGTAGGTAACACATTTTGGGGTTTGACATATTGCTATAGTTATAAACTACACCCACCCTTACTGTGACCTATCTTGTGCTGCCAGGGAGAAAGTACAAAAATGAAAGCCCCTCCCCCCCTCCTTTTCCATCCACTTGGACTTTTGAACTTTTACTATGGAATTTAGTGTGTCAACATGTTTAAACCAAGTGATCCCTTTGTGTCACGATACATGACTGTAATGGTCACAGTCAATTTGTCCCATTAGCTCCGCTATTGTCATATCAGGCGAAGGTTTCCCCAAATCCTGATATGAATAAATTATAGCGCAATCAGACCGGACTGCTGGACTTGGCGATATGCCCTGTGCTTATATTTAGGATTAAAAAATAATAATAATAAATAATTGAAGAGACTTATGAAATAAATAATTGTTTATGAAGACCCCATTGTTTAGTCACTAAGCTCTTGGAGAATCAACAAACTGCAACAAAGTTGTTGTTAATAAATACCTTGACTTCATGGATCAATACTATCTGGCAACTGACAAGTGACCCGGTGGGTCCAGGGCTGTTGTTTTAGAGATAACTTCGGTGGTTCTCTAGTTATGTGAGATAACTGCTGGGTTGAAAGCTGTTGTTTTAGCTATAAGTTCAGTGGTTCTCTAGGTATGTGGGATATCAGGTGGGTACAGATCTGTTATCTTAGAGATGAGAGATTAGATCAGTAGTTCTCTAGTTTTGTGATATTATCTATTTTATTTGTTTCACTTGTATTGTCTATGTTGTACCTATTAACTTACCCTGTGTGTGCACAGCGAAGACAGAGAATGAATTGAAATAGATTGGCCGATATAAATGAGAGATGAAAATAGAATGATAGATAGAAATAGAGTGACAAATAGAAGCATAGAAGGGAGATAAGACGTTTGATGCTTTGTATTCGTCAGCTAAATATCAACTAATTTCACCCCAAAAATGAGAATCCCTGGACAGGAGATGGCGCAAAATATGAAAGTTCAATTTGTCTTGCAGTTATTTTCAAAAGTTAACTAGTGTTACGTTAACTAGTGCTACGTTGACTAGTGCTACGTTGACTAGTGCTACGTTGACTAGTGCTACGTTGACTAGTGCTACGTTGACTAGTGCTACGTTGACTAGTGCTACGTTGACTAGTGCTACGTTGACTAGTGCTACGTTAACTAGTGCTACGTTAACTAGTGCTATGTTAACTAGTGCTATCTTAACTAGTGCTACGTTAACTAGTGTTATGTTTCTATGTTTGTTTGCTGTCTGTGACAAAAAAATTGGTTAGGTTTTAATGAAGTTACGCAATAAGAGAAATGCTCCGTCTTCCCTCCCTTTAGCAGCCGGCCAAGACCAGGCGGACAATAACACCAGCTGAGGGGTTCTCAAAACTAAGAATTTTTTGAAACTCCAAATCATTTTATTTTTTTTTACAAAAATCTGTTAAGCTGATCCAAAATGTATATCTTAACTAATGCGATTAAATAGATTCTCAATGAACGATTTTAAAAATTAAAATGTAGGTCACAGCTATTGCAGAGCCAATCAATGTTTTTTTTTAGGCCATGGGACATGACCTCATTGCAATTTTTTCACCAAAATACTTTCTATGACCTGAAAAAACACCTTCTATGACCTGTAAAAAACACCTGGATAGCTTGAAATTTCAAAAAGATGCAAACTGTTGAACTTTAAATTCTTAAAACTTTAAAACTTTAAATTTGTACCGTTCTAAAATATGTTGCTAAAGAATTATTCATATTGATTAACACGTTTTATGTGCAGACAATTAAATTAACATGCAAATATAATTCCACAGAAACGTGATGGGGCAGGGGACAAGGGGGAGCGCGGGAGGAGCTACTTCGAAAGTGACCGTTTCAGGAATGGTTTCGTATCCCAAATTTAGTTGATATTTTTTTGTTAATATTCCAGATGAAGTGGTCAATTGAAAATATCAGAATTAACTTTTAATAGGGTGCCCAGAATCTGCCGGCGACTCGGTAAGCTATGGCTTAGGGCCTTAATATATGCCGAGGGCCTCAGTAAGCTATGGCTAAGGGCCTAAATATATGCCGAGGGCCTCAGTAAGCTATGGCTTAGGGCCTAAATATATGCCGAGGGCCTCAGTAAGCTATAGCTTAGGGCCTAAATATATGCCGAGGGCCTCAGCAAGCTATAGCTTAGGGCCTAAATATATGCCGAGGGCCTCAGCAAGCTATAGCTTAGGGCCTAAATATATGCCGAGGGCCTCAGTAAGCTATAGCTTAGGGCCTAAATATATGCCGAGGGCCTCAGTAAGCTATCGCTTAGGGCCTAAATATATGCCGAGGGCCTCAATAAACTATAGCTTACGGCCTAAATATATGCCGTGGGCCTCAGTAAGCTATAGCTTAGGGCCTAAATATATGCCGAGTGCCTCAATAAGCTATAGCTTACGGCCTAAATATATGCCGAGAGCCTCAATAAACTATAGCTTACGGCCTAAATATATGCCGTGGGCCTCAGTAAGCTATAGCTTAGGGCCTAAATATATGCCGAGTGCCTCAATAAGCTATAGCTTACGGCCTAAATATATGCCGAGAGCCTCAATAAACTATAGCTCACGGCCTAAATATATGCCGAGGGCCTCATTAAGCTATAAGTTATGGCCTAAATATATGCCGAAGGCCTTATTAAGCAATAGCTTAGGGCCAAAATATATGCCGTGGGACTCATTAAGCTATAGCTTAGGGCCTTAATATATGCTGAGGGCATCAATAAGCCATAGCTTAGGGCCTCACAATCTGCCAGGGTCTCAAAAAATCCTTTTAAGCATAGTGTCCCTTAATATTTTGTTCTAATTTTCTTTGACTCCTTTGTTGCACAATGTGTTATCTTAAAATCGAAATGTTAAACTTCTATAATTTCATTAACAAGACTCCGGCCTGCTGCTTGTCATTTTGAGCAAAACTAAATCCAATCAGAATAGGTCTTATGGTACTCTACCCAGAGCATAATCTCAGCACTAACCGATTGAATGCCTCTTCCAGTCTTGCCACTCCTATGTTTCTATTTATTGACTTCAATCTAGGTTGTTGTTCTTTTCATTGCAATTATTACGTTTTCCAATAACCTTTGTATTACTCATTCCATTATTTCCTGAGCATTATTTAATGGTTTTCAAAAAGTTTACACTAAATTATCACCTCTGAGCATTGCTAATCGTTCACCACTTGACGTAATTTAAAGCGTTGGGGTGGGGGCTAGGGGTGGCCTCTGGACCAGGTATAGCTTAGGGCCTTCCCAAGTCTAAGGCCGGCCTTACCCAACCTTAACCTTTGATTATCGTAGCTGCTTATATTACAGGCTTGTTAGAAGGCAAACGTTTGTTAGAAGATGCAATATGCTTGGAAATATAAGTATACCAAAGTTTATAAAAAAGTCTTTTTTTTTTTAAGCGTTTAAAAAAATGGGGTCGGGGGGTGGGGGTGGCGTGGTAATTAATGAACTTTCTTTTAAAATTGTTAAGGCTAATTTAATAAACACAATTCCAATTAAATCGAAAGTGAAATAACAATAATTTTAATTATTATTATTATTTTAATTATAGTAAGTTTCATCTAGTATTTTATTTTGTGCAAAGATATTTTCACAGGGCCCCAACCATTTTTAAGTTAAAAAAAAAAAAGAACCTAGTTATGCAACTGATGGAAACCACGGGCAACTCTGTATGTAGTAAGACTTAAATGTATGTATGTGGTTCAACTTTTCTTAAAATAAATTATAAGCGTCACAATATTATATAAATTATAAGCGTCACAATATTATATAAATTATAAGCGTCGCAATATTATATAGATTTGACTGAGATTATTGAAAGCGACGCATCAGGATTTTAGAAGCCCTGCACTCCTGCGTGCCCAACCCGCGCGCGAGGACTAATTTTAGCCGCAAACAGCTGATTGAAACAGCTGACTGCAGCGTCCTGTACACTGATGCTACGACTACATCTGGACTTGAAGTAAGCCTTGAGTTTCGTGTTGGATACTGGACCACTGTGAAATTAGTGTAAGTTATTTTATATCGTCAACACGTGTGTGTGTGTGTGCGTTTAATTTGTAAACTAGAGCTGGCCAGATTGAAATCTAGACCCGTGTTACTCGGTGACCTACTTTCGCGGGCCAGTGTTGTTACTCCGCAGT